TATTTTTCTCCCAAATTAATTAGGGGACATAAGAGGGCGCTCCACACCTTCCTAGCATCTGCAAAACAGGTAGAATAATTTAGAACACATAAATGGGGCAGACTAATTTAGTTGAGAGCTCAAACAATACAAAAAAAGTAATAAATGAGGAGGACCATCCCATGTTTGATTGGAATCAAACACCCTACCTTTTGTTTTTGTGAGCCACACGTTTGGATAACGTTTTGAGAGCTCCTAAACACCTCCCCCTCACCCCTCATTTGAACTCAAAAGATAAGGAAGAGAGAGGAGCCGCACAACCCAAGCAAAGAAGAAAAAAGGAGAGCTGACCGCAGGAATTCATTCCAGTTCGTGGAGCTCACTGTTTGGTTTGTATCTTAAGAAATACTCATTCAATTAAGGCGTGTGAGGGGCCAAAAGAAACCTCTCAAGATACGGAATCCATAGAGGTTCGTTTTGCGTCAATTAGAGAAGCTTAAGGCTTCCAAATCGCCCGAACAAAACATGACCTCGCAGAATATGATTTTGTATTCAAAGTAAGTTTAAATCCAAAACCTTTCTTTCTATTGTCTAAATCATATAAATGATTGAATAACTATTGTACACTGGTTGAGGTGTATAAAATGTTGTTACAAAGTGACTTTATTTTTTGGAAAGGTTAGATACTAACCTAGACAAAACCTTGAAAGGTTAGGGAACGAATTCGCCGGAAAACACCCGTTCTAGGGGCTGTTTTCGTGTCTTCGGTTAGAGTTGAGCTAGCACCTTGAGGAGGCTATTTAACACCCATTTATAAGCAAGGAATAAATTCTCAAACCCCCTTGGCCGAATCTTGAGCATTGGGTTGAGAAGGAACAATTTAAAGCTCATTTGAGGTGAGGATCGACATCTAGTTGCTTACATCTTGTAGGTTAAGCATGAGATTACCTAAATGTCTAAATCATGTTTTTCATGGATTATAATGACTGCTTATTGATGAAATAATGATATATCATATAAGGAATCAAATTGGAAATGATTTGGAATCATATTGATAAAAATGGAGTGAAATGAACTATTGTGTGAAATAGACATTTTTACTCATGTGTGAATTGTGTAGATACATAAATGATTATTTATGTATTACATTGGATGATTAAGTTTCTGCTACATATCTCTAAATATGTGGGGATTTACAAATGAAATATATCATTGATAGGAATAATCTTAATAGTATTAAAATACTAGTTAATGATTGTTTGTAATTGTTAAGGAATTGAATCTAAGGATTTGATTGTAAGTGATGTACTTGATTGTAATTCAAGTGACTAAATTGATGCAATATGATGTTAAGGTCAGGTTTTGGGTAGTCCTTATGGATGTCCCAAAATAGATTATTGATATTCAATTCTAGGCATAGGTTCGTTTAGGAATTGAGTCTATACCATGACATGGTGATGTAGTTGAGTTGGACTCAAGAAGTGCATGGGTAGACATGGGGTGGTGATTGATGACTTGCATGGTGATGTAGTCGAGTTGGACTCAAGAAATGCATGGGAGAAATGAGACTGTAGCCTATGATGTGCATGGTGATGTAGTCAAGTTGGACTCGAGAAATGCACGATGGAGTAATTAACTTGTGTTATATAAGGTGCATGGTGATGTAGTTGAGTTAGACTCGAAAAATGCAAACATATGTGTTAGGGTTGAACCCTATGTATTGTCGTGACTAGGGGTCACCTTGGGCCTACGGGCCGATTACTTGACTTTATATATAAAGTAAGTATATTTCGAAAAGGGGTAACTTGGGGTTACGGCCTAGCTTATACTATCACCCCATTTGAGGGTCTTGTGTTTGAAATACTTGTTGTATATCTATTAGATGCCATCCACACCTGCACTTTATAGCCCTATAGAGTGCTGACCCCTTCGGGGGCGTCCCACCACCATTTCAGGTTGAGGCTAGAGCTTGCTTCCTATGCTCGTTGCTCGAGTGATCATCTTGGAGAGAAGACTTGGTTCGTGTTTCCTCCATTCTGTTTTTGAACATTAATAAACATGATCATGGATATTTTCACTATAGAGCCTGCGTGCTCATGTTTGCCCCGTGTGGCATTTGTTTTAAACTATGTTTTCCACTACATATTAAATTACTTATTATGTATGTTTATGGATGACTTTTGTGTGAATGATATTCAAGACGCCTTATATAATATGGATGTGTTAGACTACGGTTGACTATTCGTATTGTACGGTGGGTTGTTGACGTGTCCGGATAGGTCAGGGGCGTGACAAACACACTTAGGTTTTGATGCTTGAAATTATATTTTTTGGTTTTAATTGCATTCATTTTTGACGTTAATTTTAGAGTGAATTACAATGTAATTTTGGAGTGGTGAATGAGCATATCTACAAACTGTGTAGAAATATGAAAAATATGTGTTCACATATTGCACAATAGACTTAATAAAGTGCATATGTTTACTTGTGTGTGTGGTTGGTTTAAAATAAAATGCACTATTTGCTTAATACAATGAAACATTTGTTTAAAATAATGCTCTATTTGATGAATACAAACCAATTTAATATGTCTGTTAGTCTTGAACTAATCAAATCACTAAAACTTCAAACAGAAATATTTAAAAAAATGCAAAAATTATTTTCAGATTAACTTGAAGTGCATTGTAATATGTGTTCTGAAACGGATTTTAGATTGCATGTTTGAGAAATTTCAGTAGTGCACAGTTGGGTTTTAAAAAATGCACGATTTTGAAATAACAATGCAATACAGTAGGTTATATTATTTGGGAGAAGTTAGAGGGAACATACGGCCACAAAAAGTAGAAATAGTGAAATTAATGTATTAATAACAACTAAGTACATACCTTTGAAGCTAATAATTTATATTATTACGTAATGCAAAAATAAACCAAATGCTGGAAACAATTATTTTAAAATAAATGATTCGTACAAGTTAAAATTACAATTCCTAGTATATAACTATACAAAAGAATAATATTAGCTCCAAGTAAAAGTACAATTCCTAATACTGAATAAAAAAGAATAATCATTCTTCCATGTTCAAAGGACAATTCCTGCTATCATGATACCCTTTTTGATTACATTTTCTCGATAATTGCTTAGTCTTCTGACTCACTTCAATTGCCTTATCCTTACCACCTTTAATCCTCTTACCACAACCCTTATTTCGAGCTTGCTGAGGTGGATGCACGCTAATTTGTGTAGGAATAGGTGATCCATAAAAGCCTTTAATAACTTCACTTTTTGAAGATGCCGCCGCACTACTTGGTTGAGAGCTAGACAATAATTCTATTTTCACCTTGATCGCATCTGAAAATTGATGGAACAAGTGAGGATGATGCTCAATCATTCCAACACAAAAATGGATATTAGACCACAATGTCTTCATAGCTAATGTTTGTTCTTCAGTGCCAACACACTGTTTGAAAACACCATCTTCAAATGAACTAAGAAGCTTTAGAATTGAATCTTTGCACCATCGACATAGGACATATCTATCTGGAATTGCGTTGACCTTCTTATCTTTCAACACAAAAAAAAATATGACGACACAATATACCAATCCTCTCAAAATGTTTACAAGAGCAAAGTGTAGTACCGTCACTTGTATTGTGCACAAGTGTGAAATTTAATCCTCACTCATCTGATATTACATAGGTAAAAACAATCCCCTCGTGTTGGAGACTTTGAACGGCACAAGAATAATAGGCGCAACATATTTCCTTCTGAACGAGATAAAAAATTGAATGATTATAAACAGAGGAAACATATCTTTCAATATGTAGCGGAGTCTTGTACACGGGAATTGAGGACTCAGAAGATTTGGTCAATTGTGCACTTTTATGTCTTTGAGAATCCATTGCACTTTCAAACTGCATATAAAACTCAACCAAACTGAAATTAGGATTAGTGAATTCATTGAAAAAATTATTTTCACTCTATGAACGTGATATAGTCCTAAGCAAACCCGCCATGAAAAGATCACCAAAATAAGCAGGAATCCACATCCTCTTAATCTCAAACATGTGAGAGAACCAATTGTGCTCAAGTAGGTCATATTCTCTCATCAAATTACTCCATCTCAGTTCAAATTCTGGTGGCTGCAAGTAATGACTCCACACAACGTAACTGAATTCAATTCCTTCATAAAATTTGAGTCTTTACTCAAAACCGGACCAACTTTAAAACTCACCTTGGACATTATATGCCACATACAAAATCTGTGACATGTTGTAGTGAAAACTTGTGGAATAGCAATTTTCATGGATGGGTCTTGATCTGTTATGATGCACCTTGGTTCCCGACCCATTGCATTCAAAAAATAATGAAACAACCAAACATATGATTCAACATCTTCTTTCAACAACAAAACAACACCAAAAGTAATGCACTTTTTGTGATTATCAACGCCAGTGAAAGGGGCAAAAACCATGTTATACCTGCATTGAGAAATAAATAAAAAAAAGAGCATTGACGAACATGACATTGTGCATTACGAATACCATGAAATGCATATCATATGTAAAGATTCGAAATTGTAGCATTCATAAATTTATAAAAACTATGAAGTTAATAAAAGGAATAATTATTTATTTACACAATACATGTTTGTCTCGTATGTAGCATCAAGTGAAACAACATCCCCGAATAACGCATAATTCTTTATGCACACTGGATCCGCCCAAAATATTCGCGTCAACTGGTCACTCTCATCAACATCATAGTCAAATGAAAAGGCGGAACAAATCTCTTTCTTTCTCAAAAGCTTATCTATCAACATTTGTGCATCCACACCAACTAAATAAGCCTTCAAATCACGTTTAAAACTCTTAAAATCCACATATGTAGCACCAATATTAGCATAACCCCCGACAGTTTCCTTATACAATCGATAGCATTTCATTGTGCCAATATTTTCTTTGGCACAATTCAAAAAAAAATATTGGTGACCAATGTCAAGTTTTTTATTGACTTTTAAAAATGGCATCGACAAATCAGAAAACATACAATGGTTATGCCTCTCCTCAAAGTGTAATTTCTTATCGGTTCATGTCTGCAAGCCTAAAAACTGCATGTGCTCTGCAACCACACCTATTAGAAACCCTTCGTCTTTTTTTCTCCTCATCATTAACACAAACACCGGGATTTGGTAAACCTTCAACATCATGCTGCTCTTCAGTTTCACATCCGTCAGATTCGCATGATTCATTTTCAATAGTGAAATCTTCATTGTCACTAGTCAATTGATTAGCTAAATCGACATTGTTGCATGAATCAGTGTTAGGTGCAACTGTGGTAGATTTAGATACATTTTTGAATCCCTGTCTATTACACACCATATATTTCCAAACAATAACGTCATCACGAGCCTTCTGTTGACTGCTTTTACGTGAATCAAAACCACAAACTGGTGCAATTTGATCATAAAAAAACATATCATCCCGTAAGTTATTGAATAACATACCAACACGCGATTTCAAAGCAGGGTCACAATCAGGTGTCCAGTACATGGTGGATCCCGGAGAAACTTGCACTGTATTAACATCTAACGGTTGAGAAATTGATTAGAGGCACTAAAGGGAATGTCACTTGAACCTGATGAAACCATACAAACAAATTATTAAAAAAAAAACAGACTTTAGCGCACAGAGTACAACAAAAGTGCAATATGGAAACACAAATAAGAGCTTCATAATGCACTATAAAGAGCCCAAACAAGTTAATCAGAAATTTTAATATGAATATAAACCCAAATTTTAATGATTAATATAGATATAGAACATGTAAGCTACAAACTCATTACATTCAATATCTACAAGAAACAAAGAATCATTCGTCTAAGTTCTATATACATATCAAATTAAACTAGTAAACGTGTTGATTGTTATGCAAATGAATCCCACGTATTTTGAATCGTGTTGATTATAAATATACATAAAATAATTCTAGCTATCTATATGAATCAATCGTATTGTAAGAGAACATAACGTCTGTATGTAAGGATCAACACTAACCGAACTCCATGAAGAATTTTAGAATGGAGAAGCCAAAAGATGACGAAATAACTCAGTTCGTAGAAGGAAAGCTATACGTTCATGAAGAAAAACAAATGTCCGCAGAGAAGGAGAGAAGCAGGTCGTAGGGGAACCGGTTAGGAAAGAATGGCGGAAAAGCAGTTAAGGAAAGAATAATGAGTCGAGATTCTAGGAAACGGTAATTTGGAGTTTGACGTTAATATCCTCTACGCAACTTAATTAATCGATCAAAAAAGAAGTTAATCCAAGGGTTGATATCTATTTTTTTTCTCTCCTAAGATCTTATTATCATATGAACCAATATATATATATATATATATATATATATATATATATATATATATATATATATATATATATATATTTATGTATGTATGTATAGGTTTTGGTTCAAAGAAGAACATGATCTTATGAGAAAAATGAGAATGAATCTGGATCATTAGATTTGCTTTATGTGAAATTCAATGTGCATTAGATGAAGTTGTAATGTGCATTATGTGAAATTGAAATGTGCAGCACAAATGGTACAATGTAGTGGTATTATGTGAAGCTAAATTGTTCATTAGGTGAATTTGAAATGTGCACTGGATAAAACTAAAATGTGCAGAACAAAAGGTACGATGCGATGTTATTTTTGTACCTTTTATTCTGCACATTTCAGTTTCACCTAATGCACATGTGAGTTTAAATTTTAATTCTGCACATTTCAATATCATCTAATGCACATTTCGGTTTCACCAAATGCACAATTCAGTTCCACATAATTCAATCCAACGGTCCAGATTCGTTCTCATTTCTCTCCTAAGATCCGTTCTTACCGGAACCGCTCCCTATATGTATATATGTGTGTGTGTGTGTGTGTATATATATATATATATATATATATATATATATATGTATGTATGTATGTATGTATGTATGTATGTATTAAAACAATCACTGCAGGGGTTGGCGCACCCTCAAGCACCCCTGTACTTCCACCACTGCCGAGCAAAACCTTTGCCGAAAACGTCAAAATTAGCTAGGCTAAAGGGTTAAATAGGTTCTTGTACCCGTCCGGAATGCTTAATTTGCTCCGTGAATAAAAAAAGATCTAATATATTTACACTCTGAGTCCATATAGTCTATTGTTGAAGATCATTTTATTGTGAATCAAGCTTGTCATATGTCTTGTAATAGCTTAGCTTTTATTATATCCTTTGTTATTAATGTTTGTATTTATTAGGGTATAAAAGATATGGGGCCAATGTGTCAGGCACATATCAGGCTGAAAGCCTTTACGCAAACCTTTAACTTGCGCATATAAAAAGGCGCTTTAGGTTTAGGTTTGCATTAACTTTCGTACTCGATCAAAACAACCTTAGCGCATATCATTCTCTGTACGAGTTCACGGTATATCAAAGAGGGATTTCATCGTGTTCATCTTTCTGTTGTTTTACTCTTTGATAGATCATATTATATTGTTGTTATAGAAAACAGGGACTCACAAATGGTATCAGAGCCGATCGAGAGCTGATCAGAAGAACGACCTGCAAAATACTCTGCTTTTATTTCGTTCATCTGTAGCTAGCGAGTTTATCATCTGTAATCTTGTTTTTGCGTTAAAAGCTGTAAAAGTTATAGTGTTAGAATCGCATCTCAGAGACGATCAAGCAGTATATCTTCTTTCTGCATTTCCGCAATCTTTTTCTCTCTGTAAACTCGTAGGCAGGAACTCGCAACCCATCTTTCTCAAAGCTCCATTCAGCTTTCTGACCTGAAACTTGGGCTGCAGGAACTCGACATCAAGGGCTACAAAACGATCAGTTTCCACAAGGAAAAATCTGAAATTTATTTTTAACAGGAACTCGCAACTCAGGGTGTTGAACGTCTAAACTCGTAACTGCAAACTCGAGTTTAGAACTCGCATTTTTAACTCTCGAGTTAAGAACTCGAGACACAAACTCGCATTGTAAACTCGCACTTCAAAACTCACAAGTACAACCTCGAGTTTTGACACTGCGAGTTTTACATCTCGAGTTGTGAAAACTCGAAACCCTTAAACTCGAGTTTATAAACTCGAGTTCTCACCTCGAGTTTCTCAGACCTCGAACGGTCAGTTTTCTACAGCAATGGCTTCAGAATCTAATGCACAAGGAAACAACAACACTCATCCGGTTCTAAGGAGAGGAGAATATCAAATGTGGAGAAATCGATTCTAAAACTTCCTTGAACACAAGGACAATTCCGCTGCAATGCTTGAATCACTTCTTGATGGACCCGCTGAACTGATGATTTCAGTTGGAGGAGATGCAGAAAATAACCCACCTATCATTTCTGAAAGGAGACGGAAAGTACCATCAGAATATACTGAAGCAGACAAGTTAAGGCTGAGAGGAGACCTCATGGCAAAAACATATCTGCTCTAAGCCATTCCAAATTAAGTCTATGTGTTGATTGACAGCATGCAAACAGCAAAGGAGATGTGGGACGAAATTGAAAAGTTGCTCCAAGGCACCAGCATCAGTTTGAAGACCAAGAAAGCAACCACACTAATTGCTTATGACTCTTTCAGAACTGCCCCTGGAGAACCGCTAAACGAGACTTATAACAGATTTGTCCAACTGATCAATGAATTGAGGAAGATCAAAGTGTTCAATTCCAATATGGAATCGAATATAAGATTTCTGTCCAGTTTGCACCCTGAATGGAGAAAGACTGTAAAGGATGTGAGGCAACATATTGACCTTGATGAAATTGATCTTTGCACCCTTCATGAACACTTGAAGCATCTTGTCAATGATGTTGCTTGCTCTGAGGATCAATCCAGCACAAACCCATTGGCTCTAATGATGGATGCATAGCCTCGACGAACAACCAAACCACTAAAGAAGAAGAAAGTGGTGGTTGAGTCAGAAGATGAAGAAAGTGATGAAGAAGAGCCTGACCTCGAGGCTGAACTTGCTGACCTTGAAAAGAAGATGGCATTGCTGACCAGGAAATTTGCAAAGAAGAATGGATCCTCAAACAAACTAAGAACCTCCTCCACAAACTACAAATAGAAGCATCATGATCAAAGCTCTTCTGGTAGGACACCTGCAGCTGAAGATGCTCCAAAATGTTATAACTGTAGGAAGGCCGGACATGTCATCAAAGACTGTCGCCTGCCAAAGAAGAAGGATGCAAACTTCTACAAACAGAAGATGTTGTGGAATAAGCAGAAGATGCTCATGGTGCAGAAGGAAGAAGAAAATTCTGCAATGCTTGCCGAAAAGGATCATTTGGCTGAAGAAACTTCTGATGAGGAGGAGGAGGAGGAAGAAAACTATGGCACGGTTGGAAGATGAAGAAGATAGAAAGGGTGATGTTGCGATCCCCGGGAATGAATGCTCCACTAGCACTGTAAGTACTTCTAATCTCCCTTGCTCGAACCATAACCATTACCAATCCTTACTTGAAAAGGAGAACATCATTAAAGAACTAAAGGAGAGATTAGACAATAATTACAGGGTGCTGAAACAGAATCTGGACCAAAACACGTCTCTAAGCATTCAATTAGAAAATGAAAAAGAGCAGGTCATAAAAGTTTCCACAAAATTTGAAAGTCTTGAACTTAAAATAGATGAGACAACTAAGAAATTACAAAATAGTGAGAGAGAGAAAAACACAGCAAAGGCTGATTGTGATTTTCTTCAAAACAAAAGAAAGGCCCATATCAGGCTGAAAGCCTTTATGCAAACCTTTAACCTGCGCATATAAAAAGGCGCTTTAGGTTTAGGTTTGCGTTAACTTTCGTACTCGATCAAAACAGCCTTAGCGCATATCATTCTCTGTACGAGTTAACGGTATATCAAAGAGGGATTTCATCGTGTTCATCTTTCTGTTGTTTTACTCTTTGATATATCATATTATATTGCTGTTATAGAAAACAGGGACTAACATCTATCAACTGAGCATACGTGGGCCACTATCCGGATCCAATAGTCATGAGACCGGGGGTCCGAGTCCAAATACTCTATCAAATAATAAATTGAAGCCAGTAGTTATTATATGCCAAAGATTAAAAGAATTGTAATCTTGACAATATTGAAGAGCATGGTCAATCATAAGATGCTTGCATTAAAAATAAGGAGAGGGGAATATGCTCAATTAGTAGATTTAACATAATTTAAGATCACACTTAGTAATGTGGTACTAAGAATCATTATTTTAATTTTTTAACTGAATTGTTTATATGCAGAGATTACTGGGATTTAGTTGCTATTGACATTGCGTTTGGGATTGTATACTACTTAGACTCGCTTGGGGATATTCCACCCTTCGATTTGGAAGTTATTGTGGACGAGTTAAGTACTTTACTAGCGCAGAATGAATTATATTATGTGTTTTTTTGAGAGAGAAAATGATTAAATAGCATTAACCAAATCATTGTCTATTACAAGTGAATCAAAAGACGGGGATCAAAAAACCAAGAATGCATATGACAAAGAACAAGCCGCCCTAACCATAGCATGAGCCGCCTTGTTCGCTGACCGCCTCACATGGGAAAATGAGATGCTAGAAAAATTCTCCGTAAGATCTCTAATATCATCTGCCAACAAGCCAAATGAAGAAATGCTAGAACCCTGTAAAATTTCAGATATGGCACAGGAAGCATCAGACTCCACTTCAATATCAGTCCATTCCGACCCTTTGAACCAACTTATCGCCTCCCTTATTCCAATTAACTCAGCTTCCAGTGAGGAAAAATGTCTCTGCCACGGCCGTGCAACTCCAGCCACGAACTTGCCTTCATCATCCCTTAAGCACCAACCCAAGCCGCAGAATTCTTCACGGCCCGCAGAATTATATTATGTGTTTATTGATTGTGATCGTATGAATATTTTAATCTGTTTGCATGTTGGCCCCTTTGATGATCTTCAAACTCATAACTTAAATATGAAGTGCCATCATTGCATGAATATCACACATTTCAATTTACATTCTTTACACTGCAAATAATGTACTAATATGTTTTCAATGGCCCATAAATATGATCAGGGGAGTAAAGAT